CTTAGATAAAAAAATAATGTAACTACCAAAACTAAAACATCTTTTATCCAACAGTCTCGAAATATTTTTGTACTATTTTACGGATAAGAGTACGGTTATATATTAGTTCTAGGGCAAATTTAGACTTCAAAGTTATAAGCTCAAGGGGAAATAAGAATAATTAATTACTCTATTCTCAGTAATCAGCGGAGAAAGGGTTGTTTTGTTGTATATTTTCTTAAAAGCCCCTAATCTCAACCCAGGTGCATTTCTTGATTATACAGTTAAGACTTCAGTCCTTCTTTAGTAATTAAAATCTTTTTTTATTATTTTAATTTTCTCTTGCTTTATCTGGTGCTGGCACAGCTTAATTTTTTTAATTCTACAGATGCACTATCATAGCTTTAACAGATGCAAATGGACGGGTTTTATTAATAAGTTGAACAAATTTAATTTTTACGTGTTAGGATTTAGCAAAAATTATCAGCACTGCAGACGCCTTGTGAAGTACATGTTTATTATATCCACTGACAATTGAAATGTTCTGGTTTTGGTGCTCGAATAATGCGCTCCAATTGTAATACGTATTTCAATATTATGAGCTAAAATACAAATGCAGACCTGGTCCAAATTCAATTAGTGTTGCCGTTTATTTTTTTTATTTTTAGAACACAGCTTTTACATCTGAGGTATTAGCCGGTGCCACAAACATTTACGTTGACTTAAATATACTTAATACTAATTTATCCTAAGATTTAGCTAATATTCGATCTGCTTTGGCGAAAAACTATTTTTTCCCAGCCTTAATGGTAAATTAAAATTTTAAATTTATGAGTGTTAACTTTCTTTACTCCTTTAAATAACAAGTAGGATTTAGAAGAATCATTAATAACTCTCAAGCTATGTAAATTTGACTATGGATGTATTATAAGCTAAATACTTTGCGTTCGCATTTTGGAATTGAAATCATTTGTTTATAGTGCCCAGACTCGATAATTGCCATACAATAATTTAAACATGGTAAAATCAAACTGATCGACAACGACAAAAACTAGATTATAAACGTAATAAATTAAATAGTATTTTAATTTAATATTGTGACCAATAAACCGTTAATAATAAACTAATTGTGTCCAATGTTAATTTTAGGAATAAAAATTAAATTCAAAACCTTAGTGTTTTCACTTACAGTATTAATATTTTTTGTTTATCTTTTCTTTGTTGAATTACATTCTTTGAAATGGTTCTTTTAGTTTTATTCCTCTTACGTAAGATTAATAAACATGGCACGCTTGCGTATTTAAAATATTTTTACCAGCAGTTCCTTTTCCAAGTTGCTATTCTTAACATGCAAAATAATATCGATTTAACCAAATGCTATCGCACACTCATTGTTTTAAACAAAAAATTACAGGAGAGAAATTAGTTCAACTTAAAATTTATCGCTCAATCTCTCCACTGGAGTGGCAATGTTCATGTTTATGTGTGGCCCAAGTGGCAGAAATGTCGTGTAAATTTCCTAACATGCTTTGTTATGCTAAGAGCTCATAACTCTCTCACGAAGTTGGTTTGTCACTAACTTTACACACTTTAATTTAGCAAACAATACGTCTACTTCGACCATGTTTTTTTTTGTAAATGTATATGACATTAACTACTTTTAGTTTATACTATTTTATCTTTTAGAAGCTTATGATGAGTTTTTAATTCTGTTATGATAAAGGTTTTGTGAAGGAATAAAATATTATAATCTATTATGTAAAATACGAATAAATATATATTTTCTAAGGAACGTTTTCTAAAATATCTTATCTTTAGAGTATGTGATCCGCTATGCAAACTAGTAGAGGTTGAAAGTATTAATTTGTTCAATACTTGAATCAATATTGCATAAATACAAAAGATTAAATTTATGAAATGTGCCATTATTGTAATTTTTTTAAGTTTCTTCCTTTGATATATTTAGGTTTGTTCAACAGAAGAATCAATACCTTTGAAAACCACTTCTGAATTACTGTTATCTTGTGACCCTTGAAGATAGTCCCTTCTCATTGCACATTTAGTAGCCTTTATAAGAACGATTATCCTACCATTTATACGTGACTTAAATAACTAGTAGTGGTAAAGTGCTACTACTACTAGATCTTTGTGTTTATGTAAAATGTACATGGTATTAAATATTTATAACATTGGGAGTACTAATAACTTTTAATAAAGTTACATTTCTTCAAAATCATTTTTACATTTCATTGATGTAATTTTTGTTGATAAAAAAAATCAATTACCCTTATACACTTTAAAGGCATCACTGCAAATATACTTATATTCATTTTGCATAGAATGCGTAAAGCCCACATATTTTCCAAGTCTTATACGTATAGTAATTTACTATGTTGAGCAAAAATTAAAATGCAGACCTAGTTCAACTTAAATTTAAGTTGAAGTTTTCTAATTTCTCAGACCTAAGCGCTTAATGAGTCTGAAGTATAAGTCGGTGTCTTAAACGTTGAAGTTGGCGTACATTTACTTAATACCCAGGTTTAGCTTGGGTTCTTTTTACTCAAGAAAATTATACATTTAGGAACAAAGGGATCCACTTGTAAACCCTACATTATGGACATATAAATACATAAATTTCCACTTCCGATATCGTGTAAGTGGTATAAAAAACAAGAAAAATGCATTTCTACCCAATTAGAACAAAGAAACGTCTAAGAAATATAAGCTAGAGATATCTGATAACCTTTATATTGCAGTGAAGAAATAAAATTACACATTCTATGATATTTGTTCATAGAGGCGCCAATAGACCAAAGAACAACATAAATGTTCAACCTTTTACAAAAAGACACAAGGAATGTACGATCAAGAATTTTGACTCTTGGTAAAGCAAAATACTGTTTGAAAGTGTTGATGTCCTTAAAATAGGCAAATTTTAGGATTTTTAGCTAGCCTAGTCTTTGGATTCGGTGTGGTAAGTATGACTCCGATTTGAGAATTTTATTCACTTACTCTTAAAAGAGCTTGAGTTTCACTATATCACCTTTGTCATAGACATACAAAAAGATAAGATTATACACTTTTACTGTACACTACACTAGTTTTATTTTATAATTCGGTCACAATTGGTTTTTTTTTTCAAATTGTATCGTTTTAAGATAAGATACTTACAATTTTGAATATCAAAGAGTTCAATTGCATAACTTTCTCAATAGCATTGACTATGGTGTATTGTAACCACGTAATATTCTGTATTTTCTGTATTGTGATGATCCACAGCTACTGAACAGTAAAGTTACTGGAAATCACACCTTGTCGTACTTTAGTGTTTAATGACGTCATTTCCCGGTCTCCTTCCTACCTTAGTGATCATCAACTTAGCTCATTACATCGATACACCAACCCACTCTGTGATACAAACACAAACACGAGCAGGTATCAAAATATACCAGACACTATTTGAGTGTTTATTTTAGAACAATTGTTATATTGTTTTGGCAGCTTACAAAAATTATCAATGCTATTCATAAATACTCTAAAGTTTAATTATCTACATAACAAACATTAAAGCAAGAAAACTTTCTAGGAATATCATTTCATACTTAAGTAACTGTTACATAATTTAGTTTCTTTGGGGTCAGACTAATTTCAAGTTATCTGGTATACGGTGGATATTACAAAGTTTAACATGTATGAGACACGTAATTATTTAGATGAAACACTTTTAAAGCATGGAAAACTTTAGCAAATAAACTCGCGTACTGATACTTCATTAAACTCCTAATATAATGAAAAATAACTCCGCAACGGATTGTGTTATATTTCCACATTATATTACATTTTTTTCAGAAATCGTGATTTTTTACATTGTTTAAAACTACAAACACTTTGAAACAGTTAGTTAAGACAACTTAATAAAAGAATACTAGCAAACATTTATGATTCAAAGTACGAACAATGCTTAAAGATAAGATCCACAACAATAAGAACAGCGGTGGAGGTGACGTTATCTGAGCTTGATTTTACCTCTACCAGCCTGTCTGAAGCACCAAGGCCTTTGTATGTTAAAATTAACTAATCAAATATCTTTAATAAACTGAACAAACATTGTTTACGTAAAAGAGTTGTAAAAGGGGATTTCTGGGGAATTAAACGCAGTTCAGAATATATTCAGAACGAAGTGTAGCAGATTTTAATCTACAGCAGCAAGTTCTTACATAAAATATCTGTTTATAGGTTCATAGTACTAGTTGAAAAAAAACTTCTATAGAAGCCTCTGTAATAAAGAATACTCTTTGACAGTGACTACTAACCTAAGATTAAATGTTACAATAACGTATAATTCAGCCTGGTCCCTAAATCTTTTTACAAAGATGAATCTTTTAAAATATTATGTATGTCTCCCCATGGTAGAACGATGGTGACCCAGATAATGGTAGTTTTGTATTTATGCATATCTGCACATATATTTAATTTAAAATTCAAGTTATATGTTGCAAACAGCGCTTTATGCATTCAACGCATCTTTACTCAAGGGAATGTTCCGCCAGTTGTGATACTTTTAAATCTTAAAACCCGCTTTGAAGGCTGCCCATGAGGATTTACAAACAATGCAGGTTTTGAAACAAGATAAAATGATGTAGTGCTCACCTCATAATTTAGAGGCGTACTTGTTCTATCGTTCCTGTAGATACCATCTTTTTTGCAACCTTTTTCTCAAATTGCTAATGCTACTTATCAATAAGTCGACGTTGGCTCAGGGTTTGAGCCAGTTTCCTTGCAAAAATGCCTACGGCGAAAATAGAAACAAACACAACAAAAATACGAACTAAATACTACTACTACTGAGTACTTCAACATTAGAATGTAGTAAGGAAAGTTGTCAACCAAGTTTTGCCATTGTAAATTATTTTTTGCATTATTACAGATGTAATGAGCAATCTTCTTACATGAAATGTAATGTTGTTTGAAAGCTCTGATTTCAAACTGAACATCATACTTATGTTGGTGTTTTGTTTCAGAACTGTATTACGAATGCAGTGATTGAGTAAGTATCTTGAATTGAATACTTTTGTTTTAGTAAACATAACATAGTTTTACAAAACATGTAAGCAATTCCTTTAGCCAGCCCCATTGATTTTTCATATATTAAGACATTATATGAGGAGTATTTTTAGATTAAAATATATTTCTACAGGCTACAGTAGACATGGAGTCAGCCATTGTTTTGTCATCGAGTTTCTGGCCACGTTGACTCTAACGAGACGATGTTTGTGTTTCTACTCAATGTTTGTCAGGAAACCTTCAGATCTGTGTGTGGCCAAACCTCACTGATACTAAGTTGAAACAAGGATGGTCAAAACAAAACAAGAATCTTTTAAGAAACAGGAATTGTGAAACTTGGGCAAGATTTCGTAAATTATATTAAGATAATGTGATTAATGACGTATTTCGTATAACATGGTAAATTTTCTTACAAGCAGATTAATTTTCTATATATTAAATACTACAAAAATATCAAAAGGACCTAAAGGTGGTACTTTGAGTATTTAATGAATTTTGTGCAGGGCGCAAAGATTGCACTTTAAATTAAACCGTTCATTGTTAGGTAATTGTAAACTTGTTTGAAGTTTTATCAAACCATATAGGTAGTATAAGGTTGGGGTTCGACTCTATATTGTTTTGGAAAACTGAGGAAATTATTTAAAGAAGTATTTTGAGAAGTTTAGGTAAACATTTGGTAAACCTCTGGGAATGTAAACTAAATAACCATGGTTAGTAAAAAATAAATAATTTTTGGATTGTATGATTAAAACATAACTAGGAATGTTCACCGGTAGGATAAGGACGTCAGTCAATTTTAAAATATTTTTCTTACATAGATGTTTAATGTTCCATATATCTATGAGTTGCAATTTACTTGTCAAAAAATTGAATTAATTTATAACTTGAACATTATAAATCATTTAACCTCAATTAAATGACCCTGAATATTATTTCAACTACAGAGCACTATTTTAACATGTTTAAAAAGAAGATTTGGATTATTAACATTAACCTAAGACTGCCTTGGGAGAATACAAATGATTTTCCTCGAGCAAAGCTCGGTCATAGCTGCTTTTTTAAATTAAGTAAAGTACAAAATACTGTGTAATCTGAATAAGGTAAAAGTCCTAATCTCGTCGCAGGTGCAAGTCTTGATTATTCAGTTAATTCCCAAGTCCTTCTTCATTGGCAATTCCAATCTAGCTTTTAATTAGTCCATTTCTTTAGTCGAGATTTATTTACATCTGCTCATGTCGGAGCAAATTTATTTACTCTTAGTTCTTAAATCGTAATTAATCTTTAGCCTATTAATATTATTGTTTAGGCATTATCAACAAAATTTGTAAGTATAAGAGGATAAATCAAGAAGAAAGACGTAAAGAAAATTACTTGTCAAGTTAGCGTTTTATAATTTGTTATTCAAAGCACATCTTTAATTACACTCACTCCGCTCACGTCTCCCTTGCGTAAATTTCGTCCTTAACAGGGAATAATGATTGTAAAAGGGACTGTCTGAGAGTTATACTCTTGTTTTGGGGGTAAGTACAACGTTATTATGCCAAATATAACCAAACTTTAATAACTTGTCGTAATTGATGGCAAAGGAACGCCTTTTAATAAAATTTAATTCGAACAAAAAAGTAATTGTTAAAATATTAATATTACTCATACCTCATACAGTAAAACATGCAAGGCTATATATTGCCTCATACTTTGGTTACAATCTAGGCCTGCATATTTATGCTTGACTTCTAGTGGCAGCAATGTTGTTTAGTGTTAACATGCTTTGTTTGCTGAGGACCCATAACTCTCTGATGAAGTTGTACAGTAACTTCTCTTCATATTTTTTTTAGCTGTAGTGTTATGGAGTTGTTGGTATATTATTCTTAGATTACACACACATACACACGCACACACACACGCACACATACTATAAATGCCAAATAATGATGATGCTAGGATAAACACAGCCAAATAAAAAAAAGTAGTTTGATAAGTAGTAAATCAAGTGGTTATTCCCTAATATTGCTACAAAATAAAAGGTTAATAGTCAGAAATATATTAAAATAACACCATTGAATAAGTGATGCTTCTCAAGGTTTACAAATCTAGTATATAACTATCGTATTGTTCTCTTGAAATTGCTGAAGTCATTAATTTTAATAGGGTCCCGCAACTTTATCAAGCATTCTCCACAGATTTTCACCAACATTTAAAAACAGTGGGTTTCATTGTGTTAATGTGTTATGTCCATACACAAAATACTAGTAAAACATCTCCTTTTAGTAATAATTTGCTTATGCCTTCGACGATAACTACTAAATGTTTTGTAAAAGGTAAAAACATAGACTTACGAAACCAAAATAGTGTATGTTTTTTATCCATGGTATAAGGGATAAAAACATTGCTACAAGGAAAATAACACAAACCTGTTTCCGAAATATATAATTTATTGTTTAAACCTTTGAATATCATGAACAAACAATATTTTCGATTAAAGACAATATTTTACAATTACTGAATGTAATATGTATTATAATTTGTATTAGTCCGTCAACAATTTTACGTATCACGCAGTAATTTTCCCCCTTACTCACCCTCTCTCAAAATACAGATGATTCCATTAAAGAGGGAATAGAAGCGGTAAGCCCTGAAGGCCTTCAGACATTTGAACCAGAAAATGGCCCAATTAATTAACTCGTTAATTTCTTAAATGGGTTTAAGTTAGATTTATCGTAACAAAGCAATCAGTTGAGCAAATTAACAAAGACGTTTAAACGCAAAACATTTCCTAATTTTCCTTGTTATCATTGTTCTAAGTTGATACATTTAACATGAAATAATTAAATGACTACCACTAAAAAGCAGCGTATACAACTTTAAATTTGTTTATAACAAAAAACTAACTAAGCTGTCCTGCTAAAAACAAACGTTTATCTTTATGTTACTTAAATACTAACAAGAGAAAATTTGGTACGACACGTTTCTAAATGTAATAATTTAAATTTATGTCACGTTAAATCTACCATGACGATTCTTTAGTTCATTTGGCTATTTGCACATAATACCATCGACTTTGAATACTGTAAACAGATTGTTCAAATGTTTCACATTGTTTCAGATTGTGCGTATTAACTTAGTATAAAATAAATTAATTAGCCGAGTTTGATCAAAATATATCCATAAACAAGCAAACAACATTTTACAATATTCTCCATAAGAATAACATGGGAATTTTAAATTTTAAAAATTTTTGAATTTTCGCCGTTACCAATAAACGTACAAAAACACTTTCATATACATTTTATGTTTGTTTTTTAAGCTCTTTAAAAGGTCTAGAGAGAAGAAATTAGGAAATTTTTTTGAGGGTCAAAAATGAGAAAACCCATTTTGTACCCCATAAAACCCCGTTCTCATGGTCCGATCATGCTGGTTCGCGAACTCATTCAAGTTTATCCTGCCTTACACCTTTAAAATTTCTTCAAAATCGGACAAAAATTACTCAATAGCTACTTCCCTATTAGTAAATTCGCTAAAAGGGAGTATGATTAATTGAAGCTATTACTGAAAAAGTAAATGTGCATAGGTGTGTGACTATTGGATACTGAAGTTGTATCAATAGTGAAGGATAGAACATAGTTTATTTATATACAGTTATCAAAAAGCAAAAGCTACCAACGATCGATAGTTTCTAATACAATATTTTCACCTAAGTCTTTAAACTACGCAAGAACTAATAGTGACGATTTTGTTAAATAAAGAAGAAACATGGATTTGTTTTAACGTAAAGTTTTTTGTATTGTTTGCCAAGTGTCATTACAAAGTATTAATTACACTACAGTTGTATATGTGTATCAATGTAGATGTTTTGTAAAGTGTGTCCTCGACAGACAAGGTTGATTGTAATTAAGTGTCGTGTAATTATTAAATTCTCCTTCAGCCAGGTTGTCTCAAGTTTCCCAAAGCAATTTAACTTGCACCCTCCAACATGCACTCAAAATTTAAAGGTGATCAAATAGGCCCTTCGTCTAGTGCATATAATATTTATTTTTTAGTACTTGTAATACAACTATTTCAATCCTTCAGGTTCCAATTTGAACGAATCGTATTTATATGGCACATGTATACTCTTTCTTTAGTACATTTTAGCTTACACTTCAGTACATTACTGCATGATTTAAATACGTGTATAGTTTTAATCATTTATAGCAAATTTTAAGACTCAGTCTTCTCTTATTACAGACTCTTCTTTGCAAAAACTACAGTAAACTACAAACACCCCCGCCGCAGAAAACCTGAAGACTAAGAGAATTTCCATTACCTGGCTGGTTTTCTACTAAAATATTCCCTTAAAATTGTCAGATTTATTTCCTATTTAAGTAACATTGAGTAACATATTGAGGATGGTTTTTTATTGAAATGTTGATAGTTTAGGATGAAATAAACAAAATGGTCAAATTTGATTAACATATATCCAATTTGCACAAGCAAATTACAACGGTTTATTTTGTCTCCATAAGAATAAAATGGGAATTTTAAAATTAAATTTTTTTTATCTATCTTCGTAACCGTTATGCATACAACAACCCTTCCATGTACAAAATTATTTATTTTTGCAAGCCTTACAAAATGGTTTAGAAATGAGAAATACAGTAGTATTAAATAGTGCTGATATTTTATAATATAAACTAAAAAACTACATGATACGATAGGATGTATTTTATAGCACTATATAACATTGAACCTAACTGTTGTTTTCATACCTACAAGTTCCAAATGCAATATGAACGACCGTACGCCATGCAAAGATATAAATGGCGCCCTTATTACATTTCAGATTTTTCATAAAAGAGTCGCCTTTTATTCGTTTCGGTGGCGTAAAGGACTTTCATACAAGTTTCATTTTAAATGCAAAATGACATTCATTTCACAAAGGAATCCATGTTGGATGTGTTTTACGACAAAATATAGTGAGGAGTGATTCGTGTAGTTTCATTTGAC